CATTCTTTTTATTTAATACTCAGATTTTTTAAAACTTTCATCTTGCACTTTTTAACACAAGTACTCCTTTACTTTGGACCTCAAGATTGTTTTATTATGTTCAACAATAATTCTATTATCATTATGTTTATTTCTATTCTGCAATTCTATCTCTTCTGGTTTTATTTTTCTGTCTCTGTTACATAAATTTTATTTTAGCAAAAGATGTAATGTCAATAATAGAGTTGAACAAGGTCAGTTTAGAGAGGTGGTGAGTTTATTTTTCTTTTGATATTTTCCTGGGTATTTCTTGTTTTTCAAAGTTCTTTCTTTTTAAAATATATTTATCTATTTATTGAATACAGAGACTCACTATACAGTTCAGACTCATAGTGATCCTCCTGTCTCAGCCTTTCCAGTGCTTGGATTAAAAGCATGTGCCACCATGCATGGTTGCAGGGCAGTCTGGAATGCCTGGGGTTCCCAGGCCTGCATGCATGTGGTACCCGGGTTTGAACTCTGGCCCTTGCACTTGCCTGGCAAATGCTTAGACCGGTGATCTAGCTCCCTAGTCCCAAGGTTATTATTACTTTTTTTGTGAAAAATATTTTATATTTTCTGGGACCAAGAGACAAATAGGTCATATATCTGTTGAAAATTTATCTAACTTATTTTGAGATTATATTATAGTGAATTCATTAAAAATTGTGATTTGGCCTGCTCAAGGTAGAAATGTTATCTAAAAATATTTTCATAACAAATTTTCCTTAGATGGTTATGTATGTATGTATGTATGTATGTATGTATGTATGTATTTGGTTGTCACAGGGTCTGACTACGCAGCTGAGACTCATAGTGATCCACCCTGGGAGCAGTGATGGTGTGGCATGTGGTGTAGGGAATTGAATCGTGGAGCCTGCATTTGTCCCAACTTACCTAAGCAGACTCTTTATTCGACTGAGCTATCTCACCAGCCTAATGGCTAGATATTTGTGGGTTTTTAAAATTAATTTTATTGAGAAACAAACAGCAATGGGACAGTTTCAAAACTGATTAGTAGGACACTTTCATTAATTAACACATTGCATATTATTGTCTTTGTAGTGTTTATTCATAGTACAAAATGCATACATGATATCCTGTCCAAACACTATTAGTATAAATCTTTTTTTTCATTGAATTAAGAGGAAGTAGCTGTATGTCTATACTAATTATTTTGAATATACAGATACAGAATGGTCCTTCATTTGTATCCCCTTTTCTGTCTAGTTTTGTCAGAGATGGGTATTCCATTCTCATTTAAATGTTGTAGGTACATGAATTCAGCAAAGTATACCAATATAGTCCAGTAGTTCACAATAGTAGTGGGTTATCTGTAGGACTGGCAATGTCAGAAGTTGTTGACTTGAGCCCTTTACAGCTCAGCATATTAATATGGCTTTAGTTTTCATATCTCGTTATTATACTTTTCTGCTGGATGGTTAAGGCCAAGATAAAGCAAGACCTATATAACAAGAAGTATAATTTTTCTATCTGACAAGGTCAAAATTTAGCCTAAAACCCTGTACTGCACTTTGTAGATCCTTTGTCAGTGTCAGCCTGGTAGACGAGTCACAGCTATTGCTTGACCAATTTGCTCTCTGTGAAAAACAGAAGTTGCTTTTTTTTTTTTTTTTTTTTGAGAACTGGAGATTGAACTCAGGCCTTTGTGCTTGCCAGGCAATTGCTTATTCTACTGAGCCATCTCTCCAGTTAATGGATAGATATTTGAACACCACAAAGTATGTAAGTATAGAAATCAATATGTATGGTGGTGTGTGCCTATATTCTCAGCACTTGGGAGGTTGAAAACAGAAGGACCGAAGTCTGCTCTGTGTAGTGTGACCCTGAAGACACTGTACTAAAATACATAAAAAAACCAATATGTAGAAAAGTGCATAATTTTTATTTTAAAAGTTACATTTGCAAGTTATATATTTGTGTGTGCCTATTCATGTTTAAGCTTAAAAAACATAGTGGAAGATATACCGTAGGATATATGATATACCCCAAGATGTACCATAAGATATAGCATAGGGTAAGACGATAGCTCAGCAGTATAAGTGCCTGTCTAGCAAGCACAGGGTCTTGAATTTGATCCACAGTATAAAACAAAAACAAAACAAAAAACAAAAGTTACACCATATAGCTAGACTCACTGTGTAGATAAAGAGAGGAATAGAATAAGTCACTTAGCTTAATTGTAGTGCTCATTTCACTATGTATATGCACAGTAAAACATCATAGTGTATACCTTAAATAAATATGAGTTATGGGCAAACCACATGGTAAATATTTCATTTAAATCTCGTTGCACAAATGACACATTTCCACTAATCCACCTTAAAATACTTCTCGCTTTGAAAGCATGTTCCATCATTCTTGCCACTTTTAGAAGCAGTTCTAGGTGGTGTTTTTTTGCACTTTTATTGTACTGTCTTGGCTGCCTCCATGTCCTGAACTGATTAAACAATATTCACCTTTCCTGGTCATTTTTGTTTGGGGAAGAGTCAGAAGTCGTGTGGTTTAAGATCTGGGGAATAAGGTGAAGGAAGACACGCTGTAACACTTTTATGACCTTGCCTTTTCCTTGGCTGGCACTCAGAGAGCCATGTTCTGCGGTTCGATCACATGTCTTAAACACACACACACACACACACACACACACACACACACACACAATGAAAGCCTTCTAGAACTGTCTCAAAAAGTGAGAAGATGCTGGACACTGCGGTGCACACCTTTCATCCTTGCACTTGAAGGCTGAAGCAGGAGGATCACCATGAATTTAATGCCTACTTAGGTTACACAGTGAATGTAAGGCCAGCCTTGAACTAGTGAGCCATATACTATTTCAAAAAACAGAACAAAACAAAGAAAACTTGGAAAAAATGATGATATGGCAGTTTAAAGTGAGGGGGGAAATTTCTGAGAGAAATAATGGCAATGTCTTATCAAGGGAATCACTCACACCAAAACTAGAACATAGTAATGCATTAATGTATGCAACCTAGTAAACTATTAATGAATATGTATCTATACATATATGTATTAGATAGTAGTAACAAGCCTAGGGGGAAATATATATATATATATATATATATATATATATATATATATATATGCAGTAACAATGGAAAGAAATAGGACATCTTTTAGAAACATAAAAGATGTGCTAATTACATCTGTAAGAGAGTTTCTAATAATATAGTTCTCATTTTCACATAGCATGCTATCTTTTCTCTATATTGCCCCATTGCACTATGACTTCCTGTACAACCTAGTGTAAGTCATTTGTCCTCTCGTTGCATCCATGCCATTAGGATATCAAGAAGTGTCTTCCTTTGAGTAACTACATTCTATTTCAGTTTATAAAATAAAACTTTATTGTCACAAAGAGCTCAAGCCCCAGTTTTCTACACTAAGTACATATTTAAGAGAATCATGTAAGTTTTCTATTTATTTTCTGGATCCAGGACATTTTTCTCCTGTTTATCTGTTGCCCTCACCAATTCTTCAAGTTTCTTCTCCAAATATTGCTTTAATGTCCTTCGTATTTGCTTCATTTTCCTCCGATGAGATATACAGATATGGAAGCTGGAGTGTAGAAAGGCAATAACTCAAACAGGTATTAATAGCCCCACACTTTTAAATAATTATAGTTCCTTTTTCTGGGCATCTCTTTCATTTTTCTTATGTTTCAACTACTATCCCATCACATTTCCATCATTTTCTTTCTGTTAACATTATAATAGGGAAGACTGTTACAATCAAATGATTTTCTTGTCTTTTTTTCTAACAGGGGAAGTTAAGGTGGCCTTTTTGGCATAGGAATGGTTGACCCAGTATTTCTCTGGAGGCAGAATTCACTCACAGTAATACAACACTTGCCAATATGACAGCTTCTGTTAGGAATATCAAAAATAGTATAATCTCTCGATTCTCAGCCTTCCTTGGATCATCATCTGGATGAGGCCAAAAACAAAATGAATTTTGGAGGAGGAAAAAGTAACAAGAAATGATTATCTAGGATAGTCTTCATAACATTGGGCTATCCACTGTTTCAACAGCATGCTTTTCACTTGTATCGTTAGACTAGTAGACATTACAAAATGTTTGCCCTACCAGCCTCTACCCAAATGTTTGATTTCTTATCTGCTTTTTTTTTCATTTTAATACTCTTGGTCAGCCCTCTGCCAGCTTATTCATGTTGGTAAAAATTTTGCCCAATATTTTAGTTCTTTTTGTGATATGATTGTGAAATCTATAGACGTACCCAACAAAAACTGGAATAAATCAATGAACAAACTAAGGCCTTGATCTCTAGCCCCTTAAATCTTCTCTTCACAGTCTATGTTACCTCCACAGTATTCTCCTTTGAAGCACTGAGTAAAGATGCGAAGGCAGGTCCAACAATCAAGGATAGGACCTTCAATCACGGCTGATAAGGAGGGAAAAACAATCACAAAGGGACTATAGCAAAGGACTTGCTTAGTTTAGACATCAATTATGGCTCCAATTCTCAGGTGAATTAGATTTCATGCATTCCCAAGACTGTTATGTTACATTGCCCTAAATTCCTTTCCCCTATTAATATAAATTTTATGTAAAATTAGTTGGATCTCTGAGGAAAAACTGGGGGAAACAAGATGCCTAAGCTCATATTGAGGCAGTAGGTTGGAACCTGTATAGGAGACCTTGCAGGATATCTTAACTCTGTATGTCTTAATAATCTAAACAAAATTTTTTCAAAGCTAGATTTTTTCATCAGATATCATCAATATTCACCCATTAACTATCACTCTGGGAATTATCATTCAGTGTGACAGGTGATAGAAGGAGAATCATCTACAGCAAAAGAGACGGGAAAACAGCCCCAGACCTCAAGGTATCACATGTACTGTACTCACTGCAATCTTCAGAACAAGCTAAAAGAGAATCAGAAAGTTCTCATGAGCTTAGCATCAACCTAGAGATTACCATATTTATACCCCATAAGTCTTTATACCCATTATCTACCAATTATACCTGTACCCATTTTATATGTCTATTATCCAAAACATTGTTACTCCTCTCACCCTTTGTTTTCTATTCTCTGCTGAAGGTTTCAGTTTTGATAGAAAATTTCCATTACCAACTTCAGAGAAGTCCTTCAGTGCTTCTTTCACTTTGGATTCCAAGTTCTGGCGGACATTCAGAAACCTTCCTTGAAAGATAAAGGCACCTAATACAAAATGAATGACATTCAGATATTAGAGTGCACTTCCTTTTACATTTCTTTCTAATTGTTTTGCCTTGTTTATCCGACCCAAATTTTCTCAGATTTGGTTTGGCAAAACAGACTTTTGTACATGAGACAGAACCTCACCTTTCCATGTTTTGTTACCCAGTCTATAAAGTTCATCCTTCAGCCATATTCTCAACTTGACAACCTTGGAAACATCTAGTGAGGACAGAGAAAAAAAAAAAAAAAAACAAGTGGAGGAATAATTAAGGAATAATTAATGGAGGAAATTGTGTGCGACCAGTTGTTCTGTTTCCTGCCTCCTCTTTAGTCATACCCCTGAGCAGGGACTCAAACTTCCCTCACCTAATACTCGAAGCATCTTGTCCCTGTGGGAAACCTGGAAGCTTAAACGAACCATCAATTTAATGTGCCTTTCAAGCAGTTGAGTTCTTCCAGGGACATCATGGGGTACCATATTTGCTAGCAAGGTCCGAATATCCTTTGTGAATTTGGGGTCACACTCCAAGCAGCCCTTGACTCCATGAGTGGCTGCCAAGGACAGGGGCAGGAGAACTAACCAGAGGTTCCCCATTGTCTTTACCCAACCCTCTCCACAGTGGCAGATTGTGCTGGCAACTAGTTCACTTAGTTCTTTTTTGTAGAAAAGTCCAGGAATGAAAGCCTTGTTCTAGATATTCTGAGTTCAGTTTTCCCTCCCACTTTTAGAAACTCTCATTTTCTTAAGTATTGCACTTCTTCATTTCAGAGAGAGCTAACACTGCCAGTGAGGGAATGATTATGTGAGTTCTGAGTATAGAATGCAAACACAGGGAGAAGCCTGAGCTCACAAAAGCAGAGTTCTCTGTAGGGAAATGTCTCAGAACAAGTTTCTGTACCTCTCTCTGGCTTGTGTTGTCAGTAGATTCCCACTATTCTCCTGTCTTCTTTGGACAGAAATGGGTGGTGATAAAGATCTCACAGTACCTTTGAAATAGTTTAACATGAATCTATAGAGGAGGTAAGAAGAGTCAAAAACATTGAGCTTCCTGGTTTGCAGTCTTTATTGGTAGCAATGTTGTGGAGAAATAATGAGCATCTACATACAATAAGAAATGGTAATTTGTTATAATTGATAATTTCTCAGAAATTTTCAGCTACAGTTGCCTGTTGAATGATTCCTTCCTTCCACATTTTGTAACAATTTTATAACATTCTTTTTAGAGAAACGAGCTGAAGACTAGAAAGAGCAGTTGAGGAACAGACCATGATGTATGGAAAGTCATTAATGTGTAGGAACCTTTAACAGATGCATCATGAAATACTAATGAAGGAGTATATAGCAAATAAAATATAACCACAGTTACCATGGGCTACAGTTCAGGGAAATTACATGGAAGCTGACTAAATAAAAGTTTTTATTTTCTTTCAGTTTGTGGCTCTTTGAACAAGGATGTTCTGTATTTTTTGAAGAAATAAATGTCATTTTGCCTAGTTTTGAAAATACTGGTTACCTTATTTCTAATATAGCTATTATTACTGGGAAACTCAGATACATTTAATATTTAATATTAAAATTTCAGGTTATCTTAAGGACAGTCATAGAGTGGTCAGTAGTAAGGAAAGTTAAAAGAACTACCATTTAGAGTCCTAGCCCAGGTCCGGTGAGTGTGTGGAGAGCTTCCTGCTACCCTGAGCCGGTGGGACCAGTCCCAGTCCAGGTGTAGCGTGGGCCAGACCCTCTCACACCCCCTTGGGTCGCTCCCCACCACTCCGCAGTATCTCCCCCACCCCACTCTCCAAGTAGGAATTTCTGCCGTGTTCCGGGAACCCCCAGACCCAGTCCTAGCCCAGGTTCGATGAGGGTGTGGGAGAGCTTCCTGCTACCCTGCACCAGCGGGACAAGTCCCAGCCCAGGCGCAGCATGGGCTGGACCCTCTCCCACACCCTCGGGCCACCCCCACCACTCTGCAGCACCTCCCCCATGGTGACCACCGAGTAGGAATTTTGTCGTGTCCCGGGAACACCCAGACCCAGTCCTAGCCCAGGTCCCGTGAGTGTGTGGGAGAGCTTCCTCTTCCCCCTACTTCACCTTGCCCCCTCCAGACACAGCTCAGGCCTGGCATACATGCCTGGGGTGTAAACCTGCAGCTGCAATCCCTGCAGAGAGTGTAAAGGATAGATCCACCCAGCTAGTCCAAGAGCAGAACATCTCGCCACAGGGGCACAACAGGTTCACCCTGAAGGGCAGCAGCGGGAAGGAGCTGAGCACAGCAGCCAGACCCAAGCGAGACACACCTGGATAAGTCCAAAATTTGTAGAGCTGCACCTGAACTTCAGTACATGTGAAGCTTATAACTACAGGAAAGATCTACAACAAAGGTCAGAAGACAGTGCTACAGAAAATGATGAGAAGGAACAAAATGTAACCTCAGAACCCAAGCCCACCCATAACAAGTGCACAGAACTCAAACACAGAACAAATTGGAAATCACACAGCTGAAAGCAATGAATCAACGGCTTCTAAAATAAACAGCTGCAGAAAGATATAGAAGACCTCAGATTGGAAATAAAAAGAAGAAATCCCTGAATTATTAACATCTTCACTAAAGAATCAAATGCAGAAACATATGGAAGAAACCCAGTGCCCACCCAGAACAAGTGCGGAGGACACTAGCTCGGCTCAAATTCATGAATTA